ATGTAAATATTTAGCATATATACAATAAGACTTTGTGTTCAAATGTAATCAGGTGAACTAATTCTGTTTCCACTGTTCCATCACAAATAGCTCAGTGAAACAACAAGCTAAATAAATCTATCAATAAATATTATTATAATTCTGACACTTTGTGTAGGTTTGCCATGAGCAAAATCAAATGGTGCTTCTGAGAATATTTCTGAACAAATTACATGAAAAGCACGGGGGCATTAGTTAAGCGTTTCATTTATTTGTTTAAATTTCCATCTCAGGCAAGTGATGGAGTGTGTCGGAGTGGAAATACACAGCATAATTTGTGCTTTTTCTCCTGACAGCCAAATAAAATTGGCATAACGTGTTCTGTACAAGATGTTCAATTTGCCACAAAACTGTGTTATGCAGGTTCAACATGAGGAAAACTGCAATTGACATCTCAAAAATAAACAAATGGAATTTCATTAAAATCATTCGCTTAACACAATTATCATATTCGTATAATGCATTTTTAAATAATTGGCACTAATGCTGTAGTCAGTACTTTTCACTGCATGCTGTAAACATTAGAATCTAAAAATAGAACTCAAAGGAGCAGTGCATCCTAAATGTATGTTTTGATTGAGTTGTGTGTCTGTAAATATCTAGCATACAGTATGTAACAAAAAACAAGCTCTAGAGTTTACTGTGGGACAAACTAAACATCTTGATATTCTTTACATCTTGTTTATTATGTTGACCTTTAATGCTTTACAGGTTAAAATGGCTATCATACTCATTCTATAACTGCTGAAACTTTCATTCACTTTTTAAAACTGCATGGGAAATAAATGCACTTCATTATCCAAACAAGAAGTTATCTGCCTCTTTGAAGTATTAAGGTGGCAAAATAAAATGCAAAACATACATTTGCATTCGCACTTGTCAAGGCAACAATGTGATACCTTGCAAGCTTGTAGAGTGACTAAATTTGGATTCCTTCAGCATAGACATTAGGAAAACATAAAACTGAAGAGCTTGTTTTCACCACTCTGTATCCTCTGGGAGAAGATGACAAACACAGCAGAAAACTAGCGACAGTCCTGTTTTGCAAAAATGTAGCATATTTGGATACAAGATTTTTGCCTATATTGTAAATCTAAAAATGAAACCCCTTCAGCCTTGACTGTACACAATTTAACATGCCCCTCAAGTACCTTATTGCTTTTTAAAACAGTTACTATAATATAATAATTTTTTTTTAAACAGTAGCAGTTTTTGTTCATTTGTCAAATGAAGCTATTCTGAATACTTGGAATATAACACATGAATGTCTGCTTTACAGCTCCTTTTGCGTTCCAATGAAGAAGAACAATGAGGGTGAGTAAATGATCTTGTTTTTCATTGAACTATTCGTTTAAAGTGTTTTTTGGACTGTAGTTCTTTACCTTAACACATTTCCATAACCAGGCTAATATCCCAAGTATCATCCTGGTCAGTTAAAGGGAGGAAACATGGATCGAGTTGCTTGGAATTCTGTGCACGATGTGTGTAGGTGGAGGGGCCAAAAAACACATTATGCTGGTGTTGTGAAATTGTGCTGACTCCTATTCTAAGTGACGTTCATTTCTTCAACCCCTCTCTCAGACACAAAAGAATGGCTTTTGGAGAGATTATGTTTTCCCGAGACTAAGCAGCCCGGCGCCAAACAATAAGATGAATATGGCTGATAAACATACAATAAGTAAAAGCATTCACCTGTCAGTGTGTGTTTTTGTGTTAAGCCATTCAAATTGTGCTGAATGCGAAAACGAAATGCAATCAGTTTGAATAATCTTGCTGTGTGGTACGCTATTCATCTCCATCAGCGCAGGGCAATAAAGCGTATTTTCCATTAACTCTAATTAGGTCTTGGTATTTCCAGAGCTTATGCCATCTTTAGCCTGGCTGACAGTGTTGTGGAGCTGCGCTGGGTTCTACATTTGCTCTCTAGACGCTCAGATAGACGCTCAGATAATTGAGGTCAGTTATTCACACTGCATATCATCACAAAAGAGCATCATATTCATTATAGTTGTTTTTGTGCTTGACTGTCATATTACAAAGCTCTTGTAGCGTCTGGAACACTCCAACACACAATATATATTTTGTTAGCTAGATTTCACAAATACTTTGTAACACCCCAGGACGCCGAACAAGACCCTGGTTTCATGGTAACCCGATACATTTACAACCTTGTGGAATGCGAGCCATTCTGCTTTCTCCAGAAACAAAGGGACACAAATGCACAGGAGAAATGGACTTTTCTACTAATTAATTCATAGGAAAACCTTCTTTGAATGAACACGTGGCTGAGGCTACCATTCAGAATTGATTTCAGAATCAGAATACCTTTTTAAATTATAATTAATTTCGTGAATTTGAACTGAGGTAAATAATTAATACAAATTATGTATAAACATAATTTTTTGATTAATTTATATTTTAAATGTATATTAATTTTATATTTTTTAAAAACATTTTGTGGTATGACAAGGTTAAAATCTATTTTGATGGGTCACTTGGATAATTTTGACAGTATTTAAAGGAATAGTTCACATTTGCTTAAAATCTACTCATCCTCCGGCCATCCAAGATGTAGATGAGTTTGTTTCATCATCTGAACTGTTTTGGAGAAATTCAGCATTACATCACTTACTCGTCAATGGATCCTCTGCAGTGAATGGGTGCCATCAGATTGAAACTTAAACAGCTGATAAAAACATCACAATAATCTACAAATAATCATCATATCTCTTGTCCATCTGTTAACATCTTGTGAAGCAAAAATCTGCAAATTTTTATTATTGGGTGAACTGTATACTCTTAATTTAGTCAAAATTATTTTGTCTAGTAAGTTGAGAATTGCACAGTTAGTCAAAGTGAATTATTTAATTAACTAAAGATTTAACTCATTTATGTTTTGATAGACAATTTGGACAAAGAAAATTTCTTTGTGACTGTGTTGAATTTTTTTATGCAATTCAGCAAATCCCACTTCCTATTATTCCAATTCATCGTCTAAATTCCAATTTAAATTCAAACCCAGCCCAGTTTATTAACTGGAAAGGAGCTCATTCTTAAATTCAGATTTTTTTATAAACAGTGAATGATGCAAAAGCAGCATCTTTGTATAAATACATGCACAGTAACAACTTGCAATATGGAGACAGAGAGCAGTTTGGATTGTGTGCTGTGTGTCAGGCATTAGGCATTTTTTTTGGTCTTTATGTATTTTTCAGTGGCTCCCAGATCCTGTTTAGTTAGCTTAGCATCTTTATACGGGGCCCCTGGGACATGGCGCCTCTGATTAGCTGCTTTCATGGCTCTGGGCTGACTTTAAGGACTCAGAGCAGGCTTGCACGACTGATTTAAAGAGCCTTGCCTTTTAAAAGTGCTCTGCTCACCCCTTCTTTCTGTGTGTGTTGTTGCCAGCATCTAGGGTTTTGATCACGTCTCACCATTATGGCAAAATATGACAGGTATATGGAGGCAAGCTTTCCAAGAGAATGCAGATTAGCATAGTGCATCACCTACAGAATCATCTCTCAGTTTGAGAAGTAAACAGCGATTCTCCTTGCAGTACACAAGATAATATGCTTATATCCTAAGCATATATTGAAGTTATTGATAGCAAACAGGCAGAGTTGGTAAACATGATACTTATTATGAGTAAAAATATCGAGGCAGACAGTGTAATGATAGTCTGAACATGACAGATATGCTGTTTGGCAGTCTGAGAGAAACCTATGCATGACTGTTAGAGATAATCTACTGTGACACTGAGGGAACTATGTTCCAAGAAATATATACAAAGTGAAATCCTAATTTCTTCTCAGCCTGGTATGTTTTCCTCCTCAGAAATCCCTGTCATATTGATCTATTTGAAACTGTTGTGCTTGGTAATAGCAAAGATAATCTTACATAAAGCCAGGTTGTGTGTCCGCCCACTGCCTCTCGAGACGATTTACCACCGCCCTCTCACAATGAATAAATAAACAGAGAAAAGAGATAGAATCTCTGATTTCATTCTATGTGGGCCTTAATTGTGCAATAGAGGTGACAAGTCTGGAAAAAATAGAAGATCGTGCGGAAAATTTCATTTGAATTGATGGGCATGTAAGTGTAATGTGACATTTAGTCCAAACAGTTTGTGTTAAAAACTTCAGAGCGATCGTAACTGTTGGTTAACCAACGTCAAATTGAATGTTTTACATTAAAAAAGTAATTTTTGCAACCTCCATTTGTCTGGATAACAGCTTTGAGTCTTCTCCTATAATAATTGTGACCAACTTGTATTGGAGAAAAACGTCTCGGTTAAGTATGTAACCCTTGTTCCCTGAAGGAGGGAACGGAGATGTCACGTTGGAGGACCGACGAATTGGGATCTCGCTTAGAGGGACCAATCTACTTCGAGTGAAAACTAAACGAGCCAATGCACATTGACATGCGATTATTGCATCCAGCTGCTGCTGATCACAGTGTGAGTATAAGTAGGCAGCAGATGCGGCGCATATTCAGTTTTTCGGTTGTACAGGAGCTGTGGCGACGGGACGTGACGTCTCCGTTCCCTCCTTCAGGGAACGAGGGTTACATACGTAACCGAGACGTTCCCTTTCAGTCGGTCACTCTTGACGTCACGTTGGAGGACCGACGAATTGGGATCCTACCAAAAGGCCACAGCTACCACCCCTTCCAGTGTCCTGTGGAAGCCACCTGCGCCCCTACTTTTTGGTGTAGGCCAGGGCCTGCACAAGAGGACCAGCTACTGCGACTATGGTACTACCCACTGAGTAGACTGGATAACACTGGGGAAACGCACCTGTTCTACTTGGAACAGGGACGTTACGGAAGCTCGAACCTTCCCGAAGGAGGTTTTGGAAGTAATACACATATGGACATCCCTTAGGTGCATATGGAAGAATGGAGGTGATTGAACCCTCTTGAAATGGCAGAAGTCTGCCTGAGGTGGACTCGAGTTGTTTCTTCTGGTTGGTGGAATGATGTCGTTTCTGCTTTTCTGACTGACTCTGACACTTTCCTTTCAGGAGGGAAGAACAATATAATTTTGACAATGCTTGCTAAGGGTTTAGATCATTTCAAGACTTCCTGAGTTAACAGATAGGCTATCATAAAAGAGGAGAAATTCTAACCAGTCTTGTGACTCTTTGAAGAGGACTAGAGTTGTTTCCTCTGGTTGGTGGAGTGGTGTAGTTTCTGCTGTTCTGACTGATTCTGACACTTTCCTTTCAGGAGGGAAGAACAATATAATTTTGACAATGCTTGCTAAGGGTTTAGATAATTTCAAGACTTCCTGAGTTAACAGATATCATAAAAAATGTAAAAGCATTAGATATATACTGTAACAAGCAGTTTACTTTGCCTCTGTGTCCACTTTAAAGATGTAATACACCTAAGTCCACCAAGTTCATCGTCCTCTGAACCCATCTCTCTGTCGGGTCAGCACAGATCGTCTCGGTTACATATGTGCTGGTGACCTGGCCGCTCAGCGGTGGTACAGGAGCTGTGGCGATGGGACGTGACGTCTCCGTTCCCTCCTTCAGGGAACGAGGGTTACATACGTAAACGAGACGTTCCCTTTCAGTCGGTCACTCTCGACGGTCACTCTCGACCCGAAGGAGGTTTCGGAAGCAATACACATATGGACATCCCTTAGGTGCATATGGAAGAATGGAGGTGATTGAACCCTCTTGGAATGGCAGAAGTCTGCCGGGGAAACACGGGCTCAAGGCTATACCGTGGACTTTACACATATGGGATCCACTTAGGTCTTACATATGGAACCCAGCCTTCTACCGGTTCTCGAGGATTCAACGAGTGAAGGCCTGGCACCGGACGCTCCTCTACGTCTGGCTGCCGAGGGGATGGAGGAGCTCAACAGGGTCTACTATATGGACTCTCTGGAGTGGTTTTGCAAGCCAACCCAAAGCCGGGGCCTCTCAGTGCTTCTACCCGTTTGAGGTGAGAACACAGGAGGATACCGGCTCCACACGAAGGCTATAGAATCTAGTGAATGTGTTAGGGGTCGCCCAGACCGCAGCCCTACAGATATCTGCCAACGAGGCACCACGAGCCAGCGCCCAGGAGGATGCAACACCTCTAGTTGAGTGAGCTCGCCACCTGAACGGGCAGGGCACACCCTATGCCTGATAAGCCAGGGTGATGGCATCCACTATCCAGTGGGCCATCCTCTGCTTCGAGACGGCATTCCCTTCTGCCGGCCTCCGTGACAGACAACGAGCTGGT